GTTCACATGCAACATGGTTTATGCTATGTGTTATACTTTATGATTATGACTTGAATGATTTTTGAATGGTGCCCCTGTTGTGGGTAAAGAAATGATAAGACTTATAGAGGTTACTAGTGCAACAAGAATGATTATTAAAAAAGTGGTAGGGTATTATGTTGACATGACTTTCTGATACTCTTTTTGAACTTGAAGATTATGGACGTAGAAGAGAGGTCCACTAGGGATTGTGAAAATATGAAGAAAGATTGCCTTTTGTGGTCTGTATTGCCCCAAAATTTGAATTTTGAAACACCATGCCCTTGATTAACCGACCTTTGGAATGATTTTCCCTTGATGAACCATTTATAACGAGTTTCTGAGTCTCGCAGTGGTCTACCCCAACATTTGAATTTTGAAAGGCATGCCCCTATCTTTAGGATTTGTATGAGTTTTCTAAGAAGGAACTTGGATCCCTCCATTATGTGATATAGGTTTTGATATAGGTTACGCCAAGTGTCCGAATCTTGAAAAGTAGGCCCTTTATAAATTGGTGTTTTGAGAAGTGATCCAAGTTGACCAAATCTTAGAATGAGTTCTCCTATTCAACAGGATCCTCAAATGATGTGCCCCTATGATCATTAGGATTTTCCCCTGTTTATAGGGGTCCTCTTAGATGATTTTCCCCTAATTAGAAGCTTCTTGGAAATGCTTCCTTTGATCAGACCATTTTTGAAATCTCCTTGATGCTAAGTATTGACTCGTAAGTAAAATTGTCCCCTTTGAAAAGTAATCCTAATGTGATGTACATGCAAGTTCATGAAATATAAATTGATTATTGAAAATAAATGGATGATTAGAGATGGATATTTGAAGAGGCGAAGTGGTTAGCAATAATTTTAACAAACATAGGAGTCAGTTTAATACAAATTTTGCCGAGTATGCTTTCATAGTTAACCCTGCTTCAATTAGGACTTTTGAAGGTTGTAACGTGGCCATGGTTCATGTTTTAAGAAAAAAATAATATAAGGCTCAAAATTTATTTTAACCCACCTCATTATCCTTGATGTTCTCCAATCCTAAATCTAATTAACGCAACAGATGCATTCAGTCTCCAAGAGAAATTTAGTAGTCTCGCAGATGATGAAAAACGTAGACAAAGTTCAAGCATTAATGAGAAGCCTTGATAACTCTTGAGGTGACAGTCATAAGATTATTCTCCAATTTTGTTTCAAATCCCTTATTTTTTTCATGGGCCGATTCTTTTGAATCTAATCCATCGGGATGCACTAACTTTTGCCTAAGTCAAGTTTTTTATTGTTACTTGACTTAGCGGACTTTTTTTTTATTTTTTAAAAATTTTCTTTTGATATTTTTTCTTTTGATTTAGGAAAGTCGTGACTTCCATGTTTGATTTTTGCGAGCTTCATCTTTATTGCTCCCTCAATGTTTTATGACGTAAGTGAGAAAGAAGATGTTGTGAGCTTTATCTTCATTGTTTTCTCGATCTTGGATGATGTATGCGAGGAAGAGGATGTGCTTGAACCTTTTGCGTAGATAGACTGATTCTCTTGAGATTAGAGTGCATTCATGAATTAATTGAAATCTACCTTGCCCCTCGTTAAGATTATGGGTTTTTAGAATATAGAAATAACTTCAACTTCTGGCTCTAGGGGGTTAACTACGGATTATCTCCTTATTTATCCACTGTTTAGGAAGTGAAATAATGTCTTACATCGTCAACTAAGTCTTATTATTAAAAAGCATACGTCAGCAAAATTCGATTATTTAGTTTTCGTCATTCTCCCTCGAAGTTTGTTAAATTTGTGCAATGGGAGATAGAAAAGAAGAGTGAAAAATGGAAAGTCGTTAATTATTTGTGGAAAGTGATAGAAGAATGGATACGAATGGATCTATTTTAAAAACATGCATGATTATTTATTTGGATTACTTAATCAAAAGATACAAAGTTACACTAAATAAAACTTAGCAACTGGGAAATTACAAATTGAAATTGATAAGTCTGATGATCCTATGGAAGAGCTTCTTTGTTTGATCCACTTGACTTTAGGAGATGTTTCTTAGTTCTTGGACTTGTCAGAGAATGGGAGTGACCATTGACTTTTCTTGAGCATACCTATTTCGTGAGGGCATTGCTCTTGTTGTGGAGGGATCACCCATGGTGGTGGCACTTGAGGCACTGCGTAGGCCTTTGGCTTGTATGAAGTAGGGTCGCCTTCTCTCCTTTGTAAGACTCGTAGGACTAAGCTTAATTGAGTCTCCAATTTTAGACTTCTCCTTCAACAATCTAGGATTCCCTCGCAGTTTTCTTGAAGCGTGCTCAGAATTTATTCTTTGAGCATCAGGAAATTCGCTAGTTGGATTGATAGCGACCAAGGGCGAAGATGGAAATGCATGAAATGCAAATATATGAATGTCGGAAATGCATGGGTTTGCAAAAAATATTTTTTTGGCTTTTAAGAGTATGCGATAATATTTTCATGGAGATGTAATGCAATGTGAGTTTAGAATGAAGATAAACCTAAGGATACCCTACACGGGTTTTAGGGATATATACAATTGTGAAACCTCTACAAGCTAGGGATTATTACAGCCAAAAGATAACCCCTACAGGCTAGGGATTATGATAAGCCAATGGACAGTTGAGTGATGGTTTGATTGAGGGAATAGCATGGAAGAAAGCACACGGTGACCGATCAACAATCACCAAATCCCATGGCCTGATATAGGCCACATGGCATGCATTAGCGAGGACGTATTTCGTGGGATGGTTTCATATGGAGAACAAGATCATACAAAGGTTCTAATGACAATGACGGGACAAAGGGGGATCCCTACAGGATAGGGATAGTAATAGACACGTGGAAGTCCCTACAGGCTATAACATACTTAAGGAAATCCTTATGGACCTAACGTTTGTAATTGACAAACTGAAACCCTTGTGGGTTTAGGGTAGTGAATACCCTATACGAGTTTAGGTTATGTGAATACCTTATACCATTTTTGGGATAGATATAGAGATGAGGATACCCTTACAGGTTAAGAGGATAGGATGTTGATAGAATAACCTAGAGGGGAGTTCCTATAAAGGTTCTAAGTTTTTCTACCCTTTCCCATAAGGTGGCTTCCTTAATGGTATCATGGATTACACTAGAGGGAAAGGCACAAGGGTCACCCTTAAGTGCAGCCTCATTGTAGACCAAAACTTTCGTCTCTAAGGTCGTATAAGGTCTCACCATGAGATTTTGGTTTAAGGGTTATACAAAAAGTTATAGGTTTCATTCCAAATTCCTACCACCAAGAGGATATCTCTGGAGACATTTATTTTTTTAGAATTCCAACGACTCTAGGCGAAGTCGTCACAAAAACTCATAGGGATGATATATCCCCTTGGCCAATAGAAGAACCTTCTTTATAAGGTTTTGAAAATATTTTTTTCAAAATTAAATCCAACCAACAAATAAAAATAACAATGCTAATAATATAACAATAGGTAAATAGACAAAAATAAATAAATAATGCAAATATTGAAAACACCAAGAACCCAAACAAAACCCTAAACCTAAGATGAAAGCTTCTAAACCCTAGGGTTGAGTCCCCAGTAGAGTCGCCAACTGTAATAACCAACAAAAAATATAGAGTCGCCACTATCAATTTTTATCTTAAGGAAGGGAATATAACAAATAACTCTAATTTGGATCACATATTCTAAGTTGTTGACTTGTTTTAGACGAAGGGAAGGTGTTAGGCATGCTTCATCTACCTTGTTCACAAGGATACTATGGTTTAGGTTTAAAGGTTTATAAATAGGGTTTTAGTTTTTTAATTAAGGGAACTCGCCACGATTTTTGAGTCGTATGCCTATGTATCCTAGTAAGCTTATCCCCAGTAAGTTACGGAAGCAACCCAGTTATATCCTGTTAAGGAAATAACTATCCTCTTATGAGGAATCAGAGTCCGAATTTGTAGTTTGTAGTGTTGGTTGGTATTTTTTATAGGATTGCGTATAATTGATTTCAAATTATCCTTGAACCTTGTATGGGTTGTAAGTTGAGTGATCGTAGATGCAGTTCGCAATGAATTTTGATAGAGATTCTACTTAATCCTTTTTTCGAAAATAATATTGTAGTTTTTGTTATGTTAGTAGAAAAATGGGTTGATAATTGGTTAGCTATTTTGAATGTCTATTTGATTAAAGAGTATGGTAGGACATAGAGCGGAGGGGAGTCTAATAAAGTCTCCTTATCACGTGGCCGTATTGACCACGTGTCGCTCGTCATAAAGGGTGTGGAAGAAGCATTTGGTGAGTTGCATGAGTTTTAATGTTTTAATGTTGAATAGTTAATTGATAAGGCACTGAGTCAATCAAAGAATATGGAGAATGTGTATCCACCAATCTTGTTATTTATAATATGTTTGAATTTATTCGAGAAACTTAGAAAATATACGCAACTAGTTAATTAATTAGTAATTATATATTTTATATTATTTTTTATAATCAAAATAAATAAATAAATAAATAAATTCAAAAACTTACTAAAACTATATTAATTTACTGAAACTAAATTAATCTAATAACTCAAAACTACATAGATAAATCAATGGACTTGGGGGTATATAATGGGAGCATGTGGTATGCATATCAATAAAATGATATAAGCTTGGTTCCTTAAGCCCAATAAACAATTAAATTCTAATTCTACATTCAATTCATTTGTAAAATATTAATAATAATAATAAATGATTGATCAAGAATAAGTAACTAAGGGGCGGCGGACATTCCACCCTTTCAACTTTGGTTTTCGAAGTCCAAGTCTCCAACCAAGCATGTTCGGACACATGGAAATTATTAACCGGAATTAAAATAAAAAACACATTATTATTAACCAATCATGCTTGCGAGTGGTTTCTGGATTTGAGATCTTCGTAGGAAAATGGGCGCAGGTCGCAAACAGAAGGAGGTCAGTGGCTAGGTCGGTGGCTAGGACGCTGTCCCGGGGATGACGAGGGTTGATCGGAAGTTGAAGAGCGATAAGTTCGTTGGAGATGCTTGTGTATTCCCGGTTGTGGGATTGCTTCGTAGCTGTGAAGATGTGATAGATGTGTGGGCGACGACTTTGATGGTGGCTGGTAGTTCTGAAAGGGAGGCGGCGTTATGGGAGTTGCGATCGAAATGGATGCGCGAAGATGTTTGCACAACGGCAGGAGGGCGAGTGACGTTGCAATTCCGCGATCGAAGTCGCTCGTCGAAGACGCACAGTGGGCTCGTATCTGGGAAGCTTCGGCCGGCTTGCGGTGGTGGAAGTGTTGCACAGAGATATATGATTCATGGAGAGGATGTAGAGCGCGGGATCCGAGGCGCAAGGTGTTGATGTTGTAGTTCTGATGGTCAGTGTTTGGCAATCTAAATCTTCTCTTGTTCTTGTAAACGAAATTGACAAAACAAAACAACAAGAAAGTAAAATACAATAAACATCAATGTGGATTTGATTCTTATTGTTTCTTGCTGTTGTCAATGTTTGTTACATGGTTTTTGTCATCAATGATGGTGAAGTGTGATGTTAATTACATGTTGTAAAAATTATGGTTCTACTGAAAGTATGCATGTATGTGTTGGCTCCTAAATTCGAAACCCACGTTCTATTATCATATAAATCATTAATTATGAGTTAGAAGAGTTTCCTACACAAGAAGGCTTCGATCAGCTGATCACATCGAAAGCTTATCAAAGAATGACAAGATACTTAGAGAAATTTCTCTAAGTTGGAATCATGTTGTTTTCAACGTCGAAGGAGCAACCTTTCGACCAAGGTCCCTGATGCCCAAGATCGAACGGTTTGAATTTCGAATTGTTGGAGGGAAAACGGTTCCCAGCAGTTACCAAGCGCAACGTGGCGTGGAAGTAGACGTTGAGGGTTGTGGATGTGCCATGTGGTGTCACCACGAAGCGATGTAACTGCCTAGCAGTTACTTAGAATTTTTAGTATAAATACTAAGTGTTCACGTAGTTATTAAGGGTGTTCATCATTGTATACAAGTTACTCATTTAGATTCAAGTACCCAGCGTGAGAGAAAGAATCATTGAGAATGTATGTGTGAAACACTATTTACCTTAATCGAAATCTTTTACATTCAAGCAATTTATCGCTTTCACTTATTTATCTCAGTCGAAGTCATTTATTTAACAAGTCTTTAATGTTTTTATTTACTTTATCAAGCTTTTCTCCATGCAATTTACTTAAAGTGTCTCTACCTTACTTACGTTAATCACCATTAAGATTAGTCGAAACTCTCTATTTTGAAGCATTTAAACGATAAAAATCAGCCATGTCTTAGGATCAATCTGATCGATCCTGCGAGTCACCAAATAAGTTACCTTTTGGAAGATCAGCGGTTGTTTACCATTTTTCACGGTAAACAAATTGGCACACCTGGTGGGACCTTGTGTTGATTTTACGAGTTTAATCGTTTTTTATAAAATATACTCCTTTTTCGAGAGTATTGCATGTTATTGAGAAGTGGTAGAATATACACCAACGAAACCAATACTAGGAGAAGAAGTGGAGAAATGGCGAATCCGCCAAACAATGGAGAAAACCCACAAACAAACGTGGGAGCGACGGTTATCCCAACCATAAGCGAAGTGGTAACCGCTGGTTCAACGCCAGCAGTAACAGTTACATAAATGGGGCTAATACCTTCATTTATAGGCCCCAGAATGCCTTTGGGAACTCCCCCACCAAGGGGAAACCAAGGAACCAAACCATATGTTCCCCCAGGTTTTTCGACAGTCTGGTTAAATCGAGAACCACCCTACGGCATGCCAACTTCTGAATTGACTAGCCTGACGAACGCTACGTCCATCTTTTCAGAATCTTTAGTGAGCGCCTCTTCGCCACTCCAAGGCTCTGGAGTTGGTATGGAGAACATGGGTAGGAACCAACTCTTAGGAGGAACGTCCCACGTAATGCCTGGCCTTACGAATGCCTCGACAGCAGTCTTGAGGCAGCAAATGGACGAAAGCAACCACGACATGGTTCAAATGTTGGCGCAAACTTTAAGTACAATGCTAAATCCTTTAATACAGAATACCACCCAGTCGAATTAGCAAATGACAACGCAAATGTCGCGTCTGGCTGACTTTTTTGGGGTACCCCAACCCATTCGACAGCCCCAAAGGGCACAGATAAGGGGAAACCAAGTCATACTTCTAGAGGAAGAAACCACTATTAACCAAGTCCAGCAGCCTGTCGAAGAGAACCTTAGGGTACAAATGGAACAACCCGGGGTCGAAGAGCCGAGAGTTGTAGCCCCGGAAATAAGGATGGTTAATAGAAACCAAAACGCTGACGAAGTAGTTCAGCAAATCCAATACCAGAATGTTGGTTTGGAGAATAACTTGACAGCCATGATTGAAAGAATCATGATGCAAAACGGGATGAATACGGGCTTCCGTAGGCCCAACTTCACATCCCCGTTGTTGGAATATGTGTTACAAATGGACTTGTCTCCTAGATGCAAAGTCCCTAAGTTCACTAAGTTTTCAGGGGACACGACAGAATCCACTGTCGAACATGTGGCAAGATATTTAATCGAAGCGGGAGAAATCTCAAACAATGAGAACCTAAGGATTAAGTATTTCCCAAGTTCCCTAACAAATAATGCGTTTACTTGGTTCACAACTCTCCCCCCCCAATTCGATCCACCATTGGACCCAGTTGGAGAGATTGTTCCATGAGCAATTCTACATGGGACAAACCAAGATAAGCTTGAAAGAGTTGGCTAGTGTAAAGAGGAGATTCACTGAGCCTATAGACAAATACCTAAATAGGTTTAGATTGCTCAAGGCAAAATGCTTTATGCAAGTGCCAGAGCACGAGTTAGTCGAAATAGCCGTTGGAGGTCTAGATTACTCTATTAGGAAGAAATTAGACACTCAGTACCTGAGGGACATGGCCCAATTGGCCGATAGGGTTCGACAGGTAGAACGCCTTAAAGCTGAAAAGCTAGGGCGACGAAAACTCATAAAAGAGAAAAGATAGCATATGTTGAAATGGACGATGAAGATCCAGAAACATTCAACGAACTTATAGCCGTCGAGGAGAGTGAGGTCGATTTAGCTGAGTTAAAACGAGGGCCACCATACTCTTGCAAATTACTAGTCCCCTCAAGTGCAAAAAACCCCACTGAGTCTGAAAAGGCCAATGATAGGTTCCCTAAAAAGACTTACAGTTTCGATATTACGAAATATGATGAAATTTTTGATTTACTTGTAAAAGATGGCCAAAGGATAATACCCCCAGGGGTAAAAGTGCCTCCTCTTGATCAAAGAAAGAAAAGAGGCTATTGTAAATATCATAACTTTCTGGGCCATAAAACATCTCAATGTTTTCTTTTCAGGGATCTCGTTCAAAATGCTACCAAAGAAGGGAGGCTGAAGTTCGCTGACAAGGCCCCCGTGAATGTGGATTCGAGCCCTTTGCAGGCGGAAGCCCACTATGCTGAACCCTCAGGGGTAAATATGATCGAAGCTTCCAGGAGTCAGGTGAAAAGGTCAGGGATAACTATGGTCGAAGTCACCAAAGATCATATCAATATGCCAATATTTGGCAGTTTTTCTGGGAACCTTTCTAGAAAAACAATCGAAGCAGTCCAAAAGGCCGCTGAGGGCCCAAAACTGGAAACAGGTGGAGTCTCAAAATGTGGAACTAAACCCACTTCCTACTTGGCTGCGGTGCAAGGCCAAACAAAAGACCTGGAGGCTCAAATGAAGCAAATGACTCTTGCTACTAAAGACAACATGAATGTCAACATGGTCAAAATCTCTGAATCAAAAGTTTCAGAGGAAGCCATCAGGCAAGAGCAAGCAAACAGAACAACGTTCCCCCGAGAGAACGAAAATCTGGCATAATTCTTGCAACGATGCCAGAAGAAAAAATCAGAAGTAATGTTGTGTCCTCGATGCAGCTCTATTTTTGACAAGAAAGCTGCTGAACACATCGAAGGTGTGAGAGCAGCAAACAAAAAATGGACAGAAATGCCCAAAAAAGTGCATGCTCTGATGTTAGACACGATCCTAGAAGAACCTATCAAAAGGGTTCAAGTCAGGAAAAGAGGCCACTAACTTTCAGGCCTCCAACCAATGTGCCAGTCGATACATGGCTCAAAACATCGAGTCGAAAGAGACCCAAAAAAGAAAGGTGGCATTCCTTTGAAGTGCCAAGAGGTTCATCTTTGACACTCAAGAAAGAACCTCATGTAGGTGCCACCAAAGTTGCTCAAGTATCGAGTAACTACAAGGGAAAGAACCCAATGTCTCGATCCCAGTGGAGAAGGTACCAAAGGCGGCGCAAGGCTGAGAGAGAGGCGGCCAACGAACCAAAACCAGAGTCGAGCTCAAATGTCCCCTAGCGAAAGCAAAGAAAGCCTTTGGAGAGGGAACCAGTGGCCAATAGATTGGTATGGCCTGATCAAGACGAAGCTGGTGACGAAGATAGCTCCGAGTCCGACGACACATTATACATCATGACAAATATAGTTTCGGTCTTGCCAAGAGAATTAGACCGCCAAATGGAAGTCGAAGCAAACGAATGGGAAGTCGAACAAGAGATGGCCAAGCATAGGCCAGTATGCTACTTTGTCATGGGTAATGGTTGCACTGAAGAGCAAAATGGTTTCTTCGAACCACCAACTGAGGCGATGAAAAGTCACCTCAAGCCTTTATTCATAAGGGCAAAGCTCGAAGAGGCCACTATAAATAAAATCTTGGTGGACTGTGGGGCGACTATCAACATAATTCCCCACTTCATGCTAAGAAAAGTAGGCAAGAATGGTGAAGACATTAAGCCTCATAATATGGTTCTATCGAACTACGAAGGCGGAATAGGGACCACCATGGGTGTGATTCAACTAGACCTCAAAGTGGGATCCATCCTTCGACCAACCATGTTCATAGTCATATCGGCTAAACCAAATTACAACCTACTGTTAGGCCGAGAATGGATACATGGTGTCGGAGCAGTACCATCGTCGATGCACCAAAGGGTGATATTATGGCGTCCCGATGGGATTGTCGAGAATATAGAAGCAGATCAGAGCTACTACTTAGGCGAAGTTAATCACCTAGGGAGGGCTGACTTCGACAAAAATTTGGCTCACATTGGGCCATGTCCAGCACCTGACTTCGACATGGTGCCAGCGCCAAATGCTTTTTGTTCCTTGTACCTGCATCCTGATCATGGGTTTCAATGGGATAAATAAGACTTATCTCACATTGATTTCAGTGGGCTAACTGACATCCAGCCAACTGGTTGGGGAAGCGAATTCAGTGATAATGACTGAGTCGCAAGCGTTACAGCAAATTTCGGCTTAC